ACTCCCAGCGAGATGTCTACCATAGAAGATAGACTTGCCAGAGCATCAGCGAACCTGTTGTTTTCTCTAAGCAGATGCATAAATGTTAGTTTTTCAAACCTCAAAATTAGAATATCCAAGTCCTGATGGTAAACCTTCATCTTCTCTTCTTTGACTTTCCAGTCTCCGTTTGCTTAAGAAATAACCAAATTTGAGTCCCCAACAACATCGAACCTTTTTGCCCCTAGTTCTAGGGCAGCTTCTTCATATTCCGCTTCGTTGTTGGACACTTTGAACCGGAGTTGAAGGCTATAGGTATATGGGAATCATCGGGTGCTATCAGCAACACACCTATCCCAAAACCGTATTGATTGGACAGTTCGTCAAAGTACATCATCCAAGTTTCCTCGTCGACTTGCAGAATGTCTTCATCTGGAAACAAGTACTCCACTGCCTTATCTCCTTCTACTGGGTGGTCAGCCAAGAATTCCGCTACAGCCCTTCCTTTAAATGACTTGCATGTAACATATTTGAGCTTGAATTCGGAGAGAAGAAGCAGCCAACGAGCTAGCCTACCTGTAAGCACTGGTTTCTCAAAAAAATATTTGATGGGATCTAATCTCGAAACCAAGATTACAAAGTAAGCTAACAAGTAGTGCCTCAACTTCCTGGTCACCCATACCAAGCCTAAACAAGCTTTCTTCAAGGGAGTGTAGTGGGTCTCGTAGTCTAGCATTTTTTTGCTCAAGTAATAGATGGCCTTCTCCACCTTATCTTTAGATTCTTGAGCTAGCATGCACCCCATGGTCGAGTCTGTTACTGACAAATACAGAATCAAAGGCTTCCCCGGCTTTGGTGGCAACAACATAGGCGGATTCTATAGGTATTGTTTGACCTGCTCAAAGACAAACTAATATTGATCATCCCATCAGAATTTTTTTTCCTTTTTCAGTAGTCCAAATAGTGGTTCACAGGTCAAAGGAGATAAATCGTCTTATGAATTGAACTTTATCCAGAAAGCCACGCACCTCCTTTTCAGTCCTTGGTGGTGGTGGCATTTTTAAGATGGCCTTGATTTTAGAAGGATCTACTTCAATGCCCCTCTGTGTGATCAAAATGCCCATCATTTTCCTTGTCGTTACGCCGAAGGTGCATTTTTGCGAGTTTAACCTCAATCTGTATTCCCTGATCCGTTGAAAGAATTTTTCAAGTGCGGTGTAGTGGCCTTCCCACTCTTTGGATTTGACAATCATGTCGTTCACATACATCTCAACCTCTTTGTGGATCATGTTATTCAAGATCGTGGTTGTAGCCCGTTGATAAGTAGCCCTAGCATTTTTCAGACCGAATGGCATCACTCTGTAGGTAGTACGTACCCCCACGGTGTAGTGAAATTAGTCTTTTCGTTGTCCTCGAGTGCCATCAAAATCTGGTTATACCCAAAAAACTCATCCATAAAGGAAAGCAAGGCATGGCCTGTGGTGAAGTCCACCAACTCATCAATATGCAACAGAGAAAAGTCATCCTTCGGGCTCGCTTTATTCAAGTCTCGAAAGTCAACACAAACCCTGATTCTGTCATCCTTCTTCAGAACTGGGATGATATTGGCCAACCAGGTCGGATACTTGAATACTAACAAGAATCCTACATCAATCTGCTTGGTGACCTCTTCCTTGATTTTCAGTGCCCAATCTGGACGAATTCTACGTAACTTCTGCTTAACTGGGCGGGCCTTAGGCTCAAGAAGGATCCGATGCTATACGATCTCAGGGTCGATTCCAGGCATGTCTTCGTAGGACCACGCGAAAATATCTTTGAAATTTTTTAACAAAGTAATTAAACACTCACGTTCCTTCGAAAACAACGTGGACCCGATCTGGACTAAGCGCGAATCCTTCTCAGTGCCCACATTAATGGCAATGATTTCATCAAAACAAGGCTTAGCAAACCTCTCCTCCTCTCGATTAATCAAGTTTTTCAAAGCCAGAGGAATTTCTTCCTCTTCGTTTTCATTAAAATTCTGAAAATCTTGGTCAATACAATAAACCAGCGACACAGAGAAATACTCAAAATCTACAGCGTTTTCATTCGAAAGGTCCAGATCATCGGTTACAAACTCAAACAAAAAGCTGAATGAAGACCTAGACAAGACTTTGGCATCGAGGTTACCACCCCCGGGAATGCCAGACTCAAACTCCCCAGACTGACTTGAATCTGATCCCGACCCCACAGACTCAGTAGAATCAGATTCTAGCTCATCACCCCGATTTAGAATTGAAAAAAAAGTCCTCCTCCAGCTGTCAAGTAAGATACGGCGCCTTTGATGCATCCAAAATACCACTAGTTGGGTCCACACCTAGTTTTCCCCAATCATGGTGACAGTAAAGTTATCCCCTAAGTTCTCTAGGTCAGCCGCGGGATCTGTAATGAGATTGGCCAGTGCTGCTCCTACTTCAACCGTATTGTCGTCTAAGTCATCTTCCGTGCTCTGGCTAGTTTTAATGTTTGGCTCAGCCTTTTCTTCACCGCTGTCCCACAGCTGCAGATCAAAGAAAATCTCGAATCTAGGCAAATAGCCTAGTTTTCTTTGGTGGGCACATAGCCCACACTTCTTGTGCTCAAGTAGGCTTTGTGAACTCTCAGTACTTTTGCAGGTCTGCAAAATAACTAGGAGGATGTATTTTACGCTCGAGCAGCGTTTCCTACGCTCGGGCAGGTGGACGCTCGAGCGGCCATTTCTTGCACTCGAGCATTGGTCTGTTATCTGTAAAACTACTAGAAGTGTGCATTCTGCGCTCGAGCGTCACTTCTTACGCTCGAACGGAACAACTTATTGTGTCTGCCGCTCGAGCATCAACTCTTGTGCTCGAGCGGATTGTACATATTTTAGTTCACAACAGCCTATTGTTACGTCACTTTTTCAACCAAAACCCTAGATCGGGACTCTCTCTCTCTCTCTCTAAAACTCATCTTCTCTCTACATTTTCACCTAGATCTAGTGATCTCTCTACCCGTGTGCCTTTATTAAAAAGGTAGTGCGTCTCAAGAGCTCTCTTTTGGTCCAATTAAAGCTTGGTTTCAACGTCTTTGAAGTTTCCCTATCTCTCTCTTTGGTGTCTTCTAAGCTTGAGGTAGGGACTCTCTACACTCTCTATGAGTTTTAACCTGGACATTTTCTTGATGTTTGAGAAACATTGGGCTTTGAAGTAATTTTAACAAACCTAGGGTTTGGGGTTTCAATTTCAAAGAGGGGTTTTATGATGGATGTCTTAGAAGTGGTTGTGGGGATGGATATGACCTTGGGTTATATTAAAATGGTTGATTTTTGGTGATTGGGATGAGATTGGGAAAAAAATGATCAAGTAATTATTTTGTATAAATAATGAAATTGGAAACGGGAATATGAAATTAGATGAATGTATATATAAATGGCGAAGTTGGATGTGCATCACCTCCCACCTATGGAAATTTGAATAATTTATCTGTTAAGAAGGTTGTATATCTGTTTAGAAATATCTGTTTTGGACTATCGGTGGAGGATAGCTATGATTGTTGTAGAAATTGTATAAGGATTAGGTAAATTGAAACTAATCTCTTATTGATTGTCATTGAATATGACTGTGTTTAATACATTGTATATGCATGATGTTTGAGAGGAGAAATTGGATGTACTCCATGTTTGAGAGGAGAAAGGGTATGGACTCCATCGAATTAAGTTGACATGTGCGTCCAGGATGAAAGTCCCGAAAATATTGTGTATACATGAATGCCGATTCTCACGGATGAAATTTTCGTAAAATGGCAAATTGAAGTGTTTGTGTGTATGGATGTGTGGTGAGAAAACCACTGAGTTGTAGTCTCAGTTGGGTTGTCTGCATAACAATGGATATGACTCATGAATTGAGGAGATATTAAATGACATGAAATGAATTGATATAAAATGGATTGGGGTATTATACTTGGCATAATATGGATTTGGGAAGAATAGTTGTAAATGATTTTATTTTGAACATTGGCCATGTGCATCATGTTTATAACCTTGTTAAAAGTTCATATATTGTGCTAAATTGTTTCTGCTGGGCTTTGGCTCACCCAATTTGGGAAAAATCATTTTCAGGTGCCGATGATGTGCCTCTGCCAAGGTAGTAGCTTGAAAGGATTGGTAGGAAGAGCTTCTATTTTGTTATGTGTATTTTTTGTATAGCCAAGGGCTTTAAATTGTGCTGAGCTTGGCTCACTTTTGTTGTAACCGAGAACTGTCTTGGAAAGATGTAAGCCCATAGGGCATTCATTTCGTTGATCACTTAGTTTGGCGCTACATGCTATAGATTCAGGGTAAAGTTTATGAATGTGTAATGCATGTGCCCTTTTGTAAATGGACTCTAATTAATGAAAGTCTTATACTCTATTTATGATTTTGTATTAGTCTTTACTGTTGAATTATTCTTTTTTTTTTTTTTTTTTTTTGGGGGGAGGGAGGGGGCATGACAAAAACAAGTTTAATAAGTTACCAAAAGGGAGGGAGTGGTCGAGGTGGTCATCGGAGCAGATAGGGTGGCTAGAGGACAGAAGGGTAAGGGAGATTGGAAGGAATGAAACTTGTTTTGAAAATAAGTAAAAACATATTTTTCTTATTTTCTCAAATTTTGAGAATTGTAGCTAGTGTTTTTGAGATAACAAACATGTTTTTTATTCCAATTTTTAAATAATTTAAAGCTAAAGCAAAATAAATCAAACAAAATAAAATCTCACCAATCGAACCCTAAGATTTACAATCCCAATTAAAAAATTTGTGAAGTGACCAACTCTCTAGAATCAAAATTCGGAGTTCAAATAGCAGGCTCCAAATCTACTAAAAAAACAACAACGTAATAGAGAAAAGAAAGAATATATATTGAAAAATTTGAGCCCAATATGAATACAACATATCAAGTACCAGGAGCACATGAAAATAAATAAAACATAATAAGCATTCTAAATGTGGCAATGATCTAATATGGTTAGAGCTTTTTCTTCTGTTGCTATAGATACTTTCCTTCCACACACCCACGTTTTGTGTTCACAATCCCAACTATTGGGATGTGTGCAATTTTCCAATAATTCCCACCTTCTAAGTCACTGTTCAAGCTCGAAATCAATCCATCAGACATATTAACCAAATAAAGAGATTCAAGGTTGGTTAGAAGTTCAATGCCAGAGGGTAACTCCTCTACCAATTCGCATTGATGGATAAATAACTCCTCAAGATGAGGCATCGAGCCAGCCTCCACTTTCACCCATCTCAATCCTTTTAATCCAGCAAGGTTTAATGTCACAAGTCTTTGAAATCCACCAGACTTGAAACACAATTCTTCCCCTTCATATGTCTGCTCGAGTCGAAGGTGAACCAAATTGGGCAAACCATGGAGGGATTCTAGTGGATCAACATCCCTTAACTTACTCCATGCTAAAGTTACTTTTAACAAGCTGTGCAGTGAAGGTATCCAATGTGGTACCTTATGTAAACTTCCTTCTAAGTAGAGCGTTCGAAGAAGTTGAGGTGGTGAGGAAAGAGAATCTAGATCAATGATCTCATCTTCTCCTGTTGCACGAACAATCAATGAGCGAAGGTTACTAAGCTTCTCAAGGGACGAGCATAACACCCTCCCATCTTCATTTCTCAGTTTTTCAATCTGTAATTTCCTCAGTTGAGTCAATTTCCCTACCTCTCCTAGCAAAATGGCCCCATTATCATGGTTTGTTTCAATAGAACAAAGCTTCTGTAAGGATGACAAACTTCCTATTTTCGTCGGAGCTTTGAATCCGCTATGGTCTCGAAAACAAATTGAAGGCACAGGATCTTCTTCGTAGCGATACAACAAGATATGGCGAAGTCGTTGGAGCTTCAGTATATCATCAGGCAACTCAGTGACATACGTATGTTTAAGGTCCAATGTTTCCAGGTTTTGGAGCTTTCCAATCGCCTTTGGAATTATTTTTACATTGGTTCTCCTCAAACTTAAATACCTGAGTAAAAGTAGTTTCAAAACTTCATTTGGAAATGTCTCCAACGAGGTACCGCTTAATTCCAACACGGTTAGCAACTGTAGACCATCATTTGACGATGCAAGCATGGACAACTTGGACAGTGAATCTATTGCATTGAACATAAGCAAAGAACGAAGTCGCGTGAAGCACTTGCTTTGTTGTGTATTTTCCTCATGATTGTGGATTGATAAGCGCCGCACCTTTTCAGGCCACACTCTGCTTCGTTCACCAACTATTGTCACAACGTTTTTCTCTGCCGACTTCAAAACAATAATTTCACGCCAGAGGTCATGGATGCGATACGTTTTGACCCTTCCATCTGATCTCATCTCTGCCACTTGAACTAAGCTTCTATTGATTAGCTCATTGAGGTAGCCCTCGGCAACTTCTTCTATCGTCATTCCTAGTTTCATTTCTATAAATCCTTCTGCCACCCATAACCGAATCAATCTCCAATGGTCAATCAAACAATCCTCCGGAAAAACACTTAGATATAGAAAGCAGAACTTCAAATCATAAGGTAAATCAATGTAACTGAGTAACAATATTTTCTTCATGCTTCGGAGTTTGTCTTCTAGTTCTGCACCAAGGCTGCGGTAGATCTTTTCCCACTCATCGACATTGCTCTTTCTTGATAAAAGACCACTAATTGCCACAATTGCAAGTGGCAATCCCTCACATCTATTCAGAATGTCTTTTGAAAGTCCTTCCAAGTATAAAGGGCAAGAATTCTCCATAAATGTTTTCCTGCAAAACAATGTCCAAGACTCTTCGGGAGTCAAGGGCTCAAGATTATAATCATCCCCATGATATTCTGCACTAGCTGAAGAACCTAAATCTGTATTTCTGGTTGTCAGCACTACTCGACTACCGCAATTGCCTATGGGAAACACATGTTTAAAAGATTGCCAGGCATGAATATCCCATACATCATCGAAAACAAGCACATACCTCTTTTGTTGCAGGAAATCATAAATTATCCCTTTCAAGCTGTTGGTATCCTTGTTGTCCATCCCTTGTGGGACTGGTTGCTTGACTTCTTCAAAAAGTTGTGTGATCATGCCTTTTAGGAGCTCCTTCGTGTTGAAGGATTGAGACACAGTGATCCAGGCATGGTTCTGGAAATGGTTCTTCACAACTGCATCAGCAAAGACCTTTTTAACGAGCGTTGTTTTGCCCAATCCGCCCATTCCTGATACGGAAAACACCTTGAGTCTGGGGTCTTCATGCACCAACCAACTAATAAGTTGTGATTTGGGCTTGTCGATGCCTACCAGCTCAGATTCATCCAGCAGAAGGGCATGGCCACGAAAATCCTGCCATTCTTTGTTAAAACCAGTGGGTCTTGAGCCTTGCTCTAACGTACGATATGTATCACAGTACCTCTTATGTCTCTCCGAAATATCCTTGACTTTGGTCTTTATTCCTTTCACATCAGAAGCAATTTGGTGACGAGCTATTAAAGTCTTAATAAAGCAGCAAATCTTACAAAGAAAACCGCACAATCCATCTCCATGATCATGTCCGAAGCGAAGCATGAACAGCTCGAGAACATCTCCAATGTCGTAGGCAGCTTCTCGAACATGCTTGACCCATACATCGAGTTCGCGATCGTTCTCTTCCATGGCAACAGCTTCTTTCAAGAAAGCTGTCATGCAATCGAATTCATCTCTGATGTATTGGATATCTTCTCCAACTCCAGTCAACAAATTGAACTCTTGTTGGAGGAAGGGTGCGAAGTTGGCTAGTAGATTGAACACCGCACTCTCTGCCATTTTTTTATGTTGTTTTAGTATCCTTTAGGGTTAGAAGGGATGACAATGATGAGAGTTTGAAAGTTGAGTTGTGAACTCTGAACTGAACTGAGTTTTTGATTAAAAGGTGAGTTGTGAGTTTGAAAGTCGGGGATTTGTAATACTCAAATTCAACTGGGTTTCAGGGATCCATGATTGGAGATTGATTCACATGGAGCTGTTGGATGGCCATACTTGTACCCAAACAATGTTCATTGTACTAAATTTAACAAAATTGCTATGAATCCACTGTTATCAATTTATAATTTAAATTGATAAAATGTGGGGTTTATAAATAAAATAAATTTAAATCACTAATTTTTTTTCTAAATAAATTTTAAATTTATAAGTCTGAATTTGTAGTGTTGTTAAACTCCCACTTTTGTGGTAGTAGCTAGATATCTCTTCATTGTCAAAAAGAAAATAAATTGAATAAGAAAATTCTTATATATAAATAGGGGTAGTTTGGAAAAATTGGTAAAAAGTCAATTTTTTTATCCAAAACAATCCAATTTTTTGCCAAAAAAGTTAAAAAGCTAACTTTTTATTAACTTTCCAAAACACCACGTAGTATTTTTTATTGAATTTTCTCAACATAAGTAAGTGGATTTCATTTACACATTTTTTTCACCATTTTTTCACTCCATCCTAGACACACAACAATGAGTCTGAATTTACGAAAGTTGAAAATCTCTGACTTATTATCAAATTAATTTGGACTCTTTTTTATCTTATATAACTAATTAAAAAAATTATTCATTTAAAAAATTAAATTGATACAATATTGGTTGTCATACTATTTAATCATTTTTGTTTATAAGACTTATATATTGTTAAGAATAGGCCATCTATTTATAATATAATATCTATGTAATTTGATTATGTGATAACTTATGTTTGATTAACTTACTTTTTCGCATGCATGTTCTCCTCATATTGTCATATGACATGAACAGTTCAGATCATTGACATAAGTATAGATTAGTCTTATAATACGCAGCCTTTATGTATGAAGTTGAAATTTTCAATGTTAGCAAATTCAAATTCCATGACAATGTGATTCATATTAGTTAATGTACATGTGACTCACTTGTACGTAGATATGAGAAAATAAGGTATGAAAATGAATATTTTTCTTTATTAATAAGTATTTTGTTATCTCCGATGTAGAAATGAAAAGGATTGGATTTCCCTCCAATTCATCGAGTTTTGTTTGGGTCGGTGAGGTTCACTACAAATTTCGTTTTGATAATTTGAATAATTTATTTTGTAGGATTTTTCATGTATGTCACCCACACACAAAAATAGGTCGATATGATAATCATAGCCTATTAAATTTATTACATTTGTCACAAGTAAAATAAATTGTCTATATGTCATTTATTTTTTAGGGACAAATTATACTAATAATCCTAATATTTTGGCATATGTGTTATTTTGAAATCTATAATTTCAATCAGTTTGATTGATGGAAAATGCGTGAGTCGCATGTGTTATGTTTTTAGAGATAAATTGTAAATTTTAATCAATGTAGTGAGTTAATCTCAATGGCTTTTTCAATTTGATCAAATTAACACAAAATTTGAACTTAAATGTCAAAATTGAGCTAATTGAAAATATAAGAATCAAAATGACATAAAAAGTAAAATATAAGAATTGCCAATGTAATTTTTCCCTTTTTAGACATAAATGATATAAATTGAATAGGCTTCAAATTGACTTTTTTTTTTTTTTTTTTGTAGATGATATATATAAAGAATTTTATAAAATGAATAATTTAAATCATCGAAATAAAAATTGAGGTGAACTTCACAAGTCTAAATAGCACCTCTAATCTAAATTATAAACCAAAGGAAATCAACTTCAAATGAAAAACTTAAATATAAAATGAAATTAAATGTAATATTACTCATTCAATAATGTTATGATTATGACATTTATCTACCACATTTATTTGTGCAGTTGGGTCCAAAATGATTACTCCGATAAGTCATTGGGCGGTAGGTATATATAACATCAAGGACAGCTGGTGCTCTACAGTATTGTGGTTGGAGTACTTTGATAAATTAATAATATTGTCCAAAAGCGACCCACTAGAAAAGATGCCTAGCCACTAAAAATGGTGGATGGAGGTACAACAGACGGAGTTGTTGTGGATCAACTAATAATTTTCGAATACCCCACTTAAATAATTGCTCAAAGTGTTAATGCCATAGGTCTTGGTATCGAAAGTCTTGACGTGTACCACAAGTTTTAGAGGGAAAAAAATATATAGAATAAATTATACTCACCTTTTTAAGATTTAAAATATATGTAATTAATTTTATATTTTTAATATAATTATATTAATTTTTTAAAATTTAAATTTACATAATATTTAAATAATTTTTTATTAATAATTCATAAATCATATCATATATATGAAAAAAAATAATATTATCATATCTTTTACATTAAAATATATATTTTTCTTTATTTATCTTTATGCATTCACTCTATTTGTATTAGTTTTGATTACTTCAACCTTATTAAAAGAGACGTTAATATAATTATATAAAAATTGTATTTTTTTTATTTTTTTAATATTTGAGAGAAAATCAGGATAATTTACACAAAAATGAATTTAAATCACTAATTCTTTTTTCTGAATAAATTTTAAATTTATAAGTCTGAATTTGTAGTGTTGTTAAACTCCCACTTTTGTGGTAGTAGCTAGATATCTCTTCATTGTCAAAAAGAAAATAAATTGAATAAGAAAATTCTTATATATATATAGGGGTACTTTGGGAAGATTGGTAAAAAATCAGTTTTTTTACTTTTTAACTTTTTTTAGTTAAAAAAGTCAATTTTTTTATCCAAAACAATCCAATTTTTTGCCAAAAAAGTTAAAAAGCTAACTTTTTATTAACTTTCCAAAACACCACGTAGTATTTTTTATTGAATTTTCTCAACATAAGTAAGTGGATTTCATTTACACATTTTTTTCACCATTTTTTCACTCCATCCTAGACACACGACAATGAGTCTGAATTTACGAAAGTTGAAAATCTCTGACTTATTATCAAATTAATTTGGACTCTTTTTTATCTTATATAACTAATTAAAAAAATTATTCATTTAAAAAATTAAATTGATACAATATTGGTTGTCATACTATTTAATCATTTTTGTTTATAAGACTTATATATTGTTAAGAATAGGCCATCTATCTTTTATAATATATATATATATATATATATATATAATTTGATTATGTGATAACTTGTTTGATTAACCTGCTTTTTCGCATGCATGTTCTCCTCATATTGTCATATGGCATGAACAGTTCAGATCATTGACATAAGTATAGATTAGTCTTATAATACGCAGCCTATATGTATGAAGTTGAAATTTTCAATGCTAGCAAATTCAAATTCCATGACAATGTGATTCATATTAGTTAATATGCATGTGACTCACTTGTATGTAGATGTGAGAAAATAAGGTATGAAAATGAATATTTTTCTTTATTAATAAGAATTTTGTTATCTCCGGTGTAGAAATGAAAAGGATTGGATTTCCCACCAATTCATCGAGTTTTGTTTGGGTCAGTGAGGTTCACTACAAATTCCGTTTTGATAATTTGAATAATTCATTTTGTAGGATTTTTCGTGTATGTCACCCACACACAAAAATAGGTCGATATGATAATCATAGCCTATTAAATTTATTGCATTTGTCACAACTAAAATAAATGGTCTATTTTTAAAAATACATATGTCATTTATTTTTTAGGGACAAATTATACTAATAGTCCTAATATTTTGGCATATGTGTTATTTTGAAATCTATAATTTCAATCAGTTTGATTGATGAAAAATGCGTGAGTCGCATGTGTTATGTTTTTAGAGATAAATTATAAATTTTAATCAACGTAGTGAGTTAATCTCAATTAATTAAGTGATAATTTTTGTTCGAAGACCTTAATGGCTTTTTCAATTTGATCAAATTAACACAAAATTTGAAATTAAATGTCAAAATTGAGTTAATTGAAAATATAAGAATCAAAATGACATAAAAGGTAAAATATAGGAATTATCAATGTAATTTTTCCCTTTTTAGACATAAATGATATAAATTGACTTTTTTTTTTTTTTTCTTGTAGATGATATATATACAGAATTTTATAAAATGAATAATTTAAATCATCGAAATAAAAATTAAGGTGAACTTCACAACTCTAAATAGTACCTCTAATTTAAATTATAAACCAAAGGAAATCAACTTCAAATGAAAAACTTAAATATAAAATGAAATTAAATGTAATATTACTCATTCAATAATGTTATGATTATGACATTTATGATTTATCTACCACATTTATTTGTGCAGTTGGGTCCAAAACGATTACTCCGATAAGTCATTGGGCGGTAGGTATATACAACATCAAGGACAGCTGGTGCTCTACGGTATTGTGGTTGGAGTAGTTTGATAAATTAATAATATTGTCCAAAAGCGACCCACTAGAAAAGATGCCTAGCCACTAAAAATGGTGGATGGAGGTACAACAGACGGAGCTGTTGTGGACCAACTAATAATTTTCGAATACCCCACTTAAATAATTGCTCAAAGTGTTAATTAATGCCATAGGTCTTGGTATCGAAAGTCTTGACGCGTACCACAAGTTTTAGAGGGAAAAAAATATATAGAATAAATTATACTCACCTTTTTAAGATTTAAAATATATATAATTAATTTTATATTTTTAATATAATTATATTAATTTTTTAAAATTTAAATTTATATAATATTTAAATAATTTTTTATTAATAATTCATAAATCGTATGGTCTAAAAAAATAATATCCTTTATGCTGTGTTTGGTTGAGGGATTTGAGGAGGGATTTGGAAAGGAAAATGGAAAATGTAGGTGAAATGTGAAAAAAATATACCTACATTTCATATAGTTTCACACACATTTTTCCTTTCCCTTTCTAAATTCCT